CCCCCCGGGCCGTCGTGGGCGCCGCCGCCGCCTCCCGCAGTGCCGGCGCCACCCGCGCCGGCCATGAGCGCGAGCGAGGGCGACGAAATGTGGTCCAGCAGGTCGCCAGGCTCGAGCGCCTGGTGGTGATGGTGGTGGTGGTGGTGGTGCGCCAGCGGCACGGTGGACGTGGACGTGCATGGCACGCTGTTCATCGTGTGGTACGTGGCGTCTGGCTTGAATGGGTGGCTCTTGCCCTGGGACACGGCGATGTCCACAGCCGCCAGCGCCTCTGCCCGCGCCAGCAGCGTTTCGTCTAGGCTGGCGAAGAGGTTGCTCTGCAGCTGCAGGCGACACAAACCAAACCAAAACAAAAAACAAACAACCAAAAAAACCACAAAACGAAAAAAAGCAAAAACACAAAACAAAACCACATACAAGCCGGAAAGCACAAGCAAAGGGCAAACCAAACACAAAGCAACCAAAATAACAACAACGGGGGTGGGGACAGTGGAGGCCGGGAAAGACGGAATGGGGAGCACATTGAGGACAAGACGGGGGGGAGGGACAGATGAGAAGGGACGTGAGTGTGGGGAGAGAGACAGGTTCAGGGGAGAGGGGGTCACAAGAACACATTCCGGGAACCGGCGTGGGAGACCAAAAAGGAAGGGGAAAAGAAGAAGAAATGGAAATGTAACTCGCAGCTCGGGACCCGTGTCACGCACCCGAACACGCACAGAGACCGCCTTTCCGAGGCGTGAAATTAACAGAAAAAGTGGAGGGAAGTAGAGAGTCATGGCCCCAGCGTTCCCCACTCTGATCGCAGGCGCCGACACGAGGCAGAGGCGACGGGAACACGACATTAAGCGCCACTGGACAAAACGTGCCTCGCAGCGGGATTCCTCTAAAAATCCCTGCCCGCAAAACCCAGCACCTGGACCTGGAGCACATCAGCACCCGACATGCAGTGTCTCGGAGACGGGGAGGGGGCAGGCGCGCGGGCCGGGGCCGCGGGCGTGGGGCGCTTACCGGCGGCGTGGGCAGGCAGGCCCGCCGGATGGCCTCAGAGCTGGAGTGCAGCGACGGGTACTTGTGCTCAGGGAGGGTGGGATGCATGGCAAAGTGAGGCTGCTTGCTGTTCATAGACATCATCTTGATGGCTTGGCATGTAAATCCACAAACACTCCGAAAGTCTGCGGGAAAGTGCGCACGCCGGCTCCCCCGGCCTCCCTTCGGAGGCTGCAGCCGCGACTGCTGGCTGCGCGGAGGCGGCGGCCGCGCCAGGGGCTGCTGCTGCTCCTCTGCTGCCGCCGCTGCCGCCCGGCGCTCCCTTTGACCGTGCAGAGCGCCGCGCACCGGCCTCGCGATCCCACTTCTCCTAGAGCTCTAGCCCCGCGCGCCGACGGGATGCACTCCTCTTACACCTGAGCCCCACTTCTCGCGGCCGGTTCTGGGAGCTCTCGCGAGAGCTCCCGGCCCCGCCGCGCTGACAGGCATCAGCTGTCTGAGTCTGTCTGACGCGCGCTCTCTCTCCGCGGCGCCGTGCGTCTGCGCGCGCGCGCGCTCGCCCGGCCGCGACAGGCGCTTGGGAGCCGCTCTTATAGTGACCACCAGCAAGGACAGCGCAGGTGATGCACCTGTAGCTACCCGGGCATGCGCAATGCACGCCTCACCTTTCCCACAGCGGCTCTGGAAAGATCAAAAGGGCTGGCTATTGTCTCAGGGTACCCACCTTTTAGGGGGAGAAAGACAAGATGCTCAGAACCCCTTTGGTGCTTTGCCTCTCTCAAACTCTCCCCCGCAAGCCCGGAATATATGCGCATTACTTAGGCACACCTCCACTCTGGGATGTCTAACAAGCTGTTATATAATGTATACAGCTGGGTATTTGTATGTTAAATTATGCCCGCGCATTCCTCTGTATACAGTATAAATAACAACATAGAAACGCAGAAGATGCTGTCTTTTGCTGCAAGAACCTGTTTCTTTCAAGGTTTATAAATAGGTTCCTGGAGAATAATCGCCGTGACAGACATTTGTTTGAAGCAGTCAGACGCTATTGATTTCCATATAATTTAATTTCTTCCGCATACTTTGTTGTTGTTGTTGTTGTTGTGAATATAACAGTGTCAGGCACCGACAGTGACAGCCACTTAGGAGCCACAAGGAGCGTGTGCTTTCTACTAAGGAACTGCTGTTGAAATGAAATTGTGCATTTCTCTTATTGTTTGTCTCCTTTAACCGTGTACAAACCCACATTTCAAACGAGCTCCGGGTGATCTGAGGCTTCTAGTAATCAAAAGGAAAAATAGTTAACAGGGTGTTGTGGGGATCCTTTCCTCTCCTCAGCGTGTACACACACACACGCACACACACTTTATGCTGGAAACTCCGGGAGAAAAGAAAATCGCTTCAGAGAAAAAAGAATTAAGATGTTGAAAAGAGAACTTTCTTTTCCCTTCCATCGTCTTGGCTTTGGCCTCTTTGCTTCGTGTGTGTGTGTATATATATATATTTTTTTCAAGATTATATATATATATATATATATGAGACAGGATCTTGAATAGGAGACAGGATCAAGCCAGTGTATAGGAAAGTGTGATTAAAATATTAATTCAAACCAATCTGGAATAAAGAAACCTAAGCTCTGGTGCAGACTTTATTTTTTATGTATTCTCTGATTGTGAAATCAAAACCTAAGAAGAATGAATCAATTAGCCAACCTGTTATATGGCCCTTGTGTGGCAGGCAGATCAAGCGCCTCCCGGGAGAACCACAGTTCAGGTGCCGAGTCTCCAGGGACACAACGCTTGCCCCGAGTGATAATAACAGCCCAGATGTTATCACATCTGTGGCGGGAGAGCTGGAGAGAGGCAAGGGGCTACTTATGGGAGGCAGAGATCAGATAAATAATCTTTCTGGTCTCTCCCACACCAAAGAGGTCTGTATTTCCACCAAAGAGCAGATCTCATTTCTAAAAACCTCAATTTGCGTTCGTGTGGATCTTTTCCTCAGATAAACGTGTCCGTATTTAGCATACCCACTCAATACTCAAATTCCAAGAAAAGCCCACAGGCGTCACCATGGCTTTTCCTTTCTTTCTTTTCTTTTCTCTCTACCCTCCTCCCCTGTTGCAGCCAGAGAGGGGAGAAAGATGTTCACTTGCTGGTCGAGAGGAGCCTCGAGTTTCCATCCATTACATGGTCCCCTGGGAGTGCTAAATGCAACTTATCTCTAAGGGGAATGGACGGGGAGCAGGACATCGCTGGAGGGAGCGAGTGAGTCCTAAGGTAGTTGTCGCCCTGGATGTCCAGGCTTAACCTAATCCTTCCTGATACCCAGGGCAGCCAGCCATTCCCTGAGCTCTTTCACTAGGGAAAGGAAGGGTCCTGCAGAGGGCAAGAGCCTAGATCCTGCCCGCACCTCAGGGAAATGCTGGCCTTTAGACACCCGGAAGGGTGGAAAGGTGCATGGGAGGCAGAACCGCAAGCAGCACAGGTTCCTTCTGAGTGGACCCCCACAGAGCAAGGCCAGCCCCCAAGTACTGGAAACTCATCTGGACTTACCTATGACTCTGGGAGGGCACCCTACCAGAGAGCAGGAGCTTACAAGCCTGCCCAGACTCCTCCTCTAGTTCACATTTCTTCGGACACCTTTTTTTTTTTTTTTTTTTTGGACAACGCATGGGTGGGGCCAGAATTTGTCCAGAATTACTCAGCTTTTCCTGTGGCTAGAACTATGAGGGCTGTGGGTTCAATTCCCAGCCCACCCCCTAACCAATAGACTGGAAGCCCATTTTGGTGCACATCTGTGTCCACAACGGTACCTAGCAAAGTGCTTGGCACAGGGTAAAAACGCCCCATCGAACAACACATGTGTGTAGAAAGAAGAGAAGGCAGATGGGGAAGGCCAGGAGTAAAAGCCAGAAAGTTCAACAAGCCAGGGTTAATGGGGGGCAAGCAGGATGATCACTGAAGGGTCTCCTCTCTTCCAAAAAGGGAAATGGAGACTGGGCCAGAGGGGTGCATTGTCCCCATGCAGAGCTGTAAATCTTGTCAGCAGCTTGTTCTTCTTCGGAGTTCAATTATTGCATCCCTCCCTCATTTACATTCTACTTTCCTTTCCTTCCTCACATCCTTGGTCATCACCAGTCTGGGCCAGGGCAAGACATTGAAGAGAAAATGAGGTATAAAACAGGGGTATCTGCCCTGCAGGAGGTAGCAGTCTCTAAGAGTGGGGCAGCCCCAGGTGAAGGGGCACTTATGGTACATACAGGTGTGACAGGTGCAGAGAAAGGGAGTTGGATGGAAACATGGGATGGGGCGGGAGATGGTTCCTGGACAGTTATCTAGCCACATCCCTGCTGGGCCTCGGCCCCAGGCTAGAGCTTGGGGCACGGTGGCAGATCTGCATGCAGTTCCTTGGGCCTTATGAAGTCTTTCTCTACTTACCCCAGGGCAGTGAAAGAAAAGGGTGGTGGACAGGGGCTCACCAATATGTCACTGCTTTGTTTTTCTGGTCTGGCAAGTGCAGTAACTAGTTGGCCCCTGCCTGTGCTAATGATGCCCACATGGGTTCTGAGCCTGGGCATAGATTCCTGGAAAGGTGCCCCCCTTCCTTCTTGTTTAATGACCAACACAGATTCTCCCCTCCCCCTATCTCATAGCTTTGCATTTTATCAAGAGGGGGATAATGAATGCACAGCTATTGATTTCCAAGGAATTTCTGCCCCCAGGGATAGGGAGTCTATCATCTGGATCAGAGACACATTTCTTTCCCTCATTAATTAATTTTCTCCTCCTCCTTTGGCAGGTCCCACTTCACATTTTCTCTGGCAGCTGCTGTTTCCCCGAGCTCAGAGAGCAGAGTTCCTTGGTTGGAGTGAGGCCGGGGTAGAGAGGCGCTGTTCAAGGGCCCACACTGCTGGGAGTGAACTGTCCTTTCCTTAGACACCCACCCACCTCCCTAGATCAGCAGAGCCCGCCTGACAGCTCCTGCTGGCTCTGGCTGCCGTTCTCCAAAAGGGTGTGGGGGTGGGGGAGAAATCAGCCCTGGACATAGCAGCCACTACCTGCACACACACACACACACACACACACACACACACCCCTCTGGGATGGAACCCGGGTTATTTCTTAAGATTCAGGAACAGGGGTTTGGCCCTGAAGAACGTCTACTTAAGTGCGTGGAGAGAGAGAGTGTGTGTGTGTGTGTGTGTGTGTGTGTGTGTGTACAGAAGGAGGGTATCGGGCTCCACGTTCTGGCCTGAAGATCTGGCCCTACCTGCAGGCCGGCCCCCTCCGGTTCTGGCGGCCCGAGTGGGAGCTCTGCACCTCCCAGACCCGGGGTGCCACAGTTCCCGCGGGCAGTTGCCCAGTTTGAAAGTGGGCACATTTCACAGCGCGGCCCCGCTCTGCGTGCAGGCGTAGCCCCCAGAGGTCAGAGCTGGCCGCCTCCAGAGGCCTTTGGGGTTGTTTTTAAGCCCTGTGAAGGGGCAGGCAGGGGAGGAGCAGGCCCAGAGTAGGGCGTGGAGGTCGGTTCTCTTGAAGAGGAGCTGTGCTTGGCTGGGCCCGGCGGCGCCCTCGCGCTCCGACACTTTCTGCCCGAAGCGTGGAAAAGGGGAGCTACTGGTGCGGTACTTTCGCTTCCTCTCGGGGCCGGCTTTCCCGGGGCCGTGCCTGGGCTGCCTCGATGCTGGGTCTCTGTTCGCACTACCCCCCCACGCGGGCCGATCCCGTCTCTCCCGCCGTTCGGGGCCCGGGCTCCTCGCGGGTCCTGCCGAGGTCCTCTGACCTCCCCCAGCGGACCGCGAGGCCTCAGTGCCCACCTCGTCCGTCTCTGGCGGTGGCCCTGCCCTCTGCCAGCCCCACGGCCCAGTCCTGCCCACGCAGCGAGTTCAGAGCCACGCTCTTGCTGCCGGGAGCTCGGAGATTTCTGGAGGCCCGGTGCTCCCTTTCCACCGCGCCCCGCCCGCACTCGGGCCGCTCGTCGGAGGTGAGTGAGTTAGTGAGGCCCACGGTGATCTCGTAAGGCTCCCGCCCCGTGCGCGTTCAGACTGAACTCCCGCTGAGACCTGCGGAGAAGGTTCTTGAGTTGTCCGGTCAAAACCCCACTGTTTTTTCTTGGGGCCGTTTAATTCAAGCGCCACTTCCGTGGGGAACATTTTTCGGGATGTCGACCACCCCACCCCGAGATGATGCTTCCCAGTAAAGTTCGCCGCCGGTCATTATCCCTCTGGGCGTTACGCATGTAGAAATCAATCGCTCTATCTACTATCATCTATGTATCACCTCCGCCTTCTCCGCCTGAATCTCTCTGTGGACTCAAAACCAACCTACCTAGTGAAAGATCTACGGGCGAGGCAGGACGACTAGGTCTGGGTCCTAACAGGGGTATGGCCTCCCCCGCCCGCCAGCTGCGCCGTCCGTGT